TTCTGGAATGGTCATCAGAGCTGTTATTGTATTGCCCTGGATGTCCTTTCACTATTTCCTTTATCTTTAGTTAAGACAAAAAGTCACTGGGGCCCAGGTCAGGTGAGTAGGGAGGGTGTTCCAATACAGTTATTTGTTTACTGGCTAAAAGCTCCCTGAGAGACAGTGCCCTGTGAGCTGGTGCACTGTCGTGATGCAAGAGCCATGCCTTTCTCACACCAAGAATCCCAGTTGATTTTCCTGTTTCTCTATCAATGTTGACTTCGTTTACTATGCTTCTCACTACCAGCCGACGGTTTTGATGCACAATTTGTTGAATTTTTGCAATGTTTTCATCAGTTCTGCTCGTTATTGGCTGCCCTGGCCACTCTTCATCAGTGATGCTTTCTCTCCCCTCAGAAAAATGTTTAATCCATTAGTACACTACTGTTTTCTTCATGGCATTATCCCCATGTACTTGTACTAACATGTCCCTGGTTTCACTTCCCCTCCTGCAAAGTTTAATAAGAAATTTTGTCTGTTCATTGCTCTAATTCAAGCTTGACATTCTCCTGATGGCACATAAAACACAAGAATGAATGCCACTCACCAAGACATACACACATGGACACAAACAGCTATGAGACGCTGCTATTCCGAGGTTGTGAAACCTCACTGAGCTGCAGAGGGATGCCAGTGTAACCCCGTAGCAGCAAGTTCACATGTCACCACTGAAGACCATATCTGTTGGCTGAGTTTTTTTGGCTTCCTCTCTGAGTAGCCATTTACTGAGCCACAATGGGATGGGGATTGCTGGCTTCAACAATGAAGGGAAGTTATGGTGTCCCCAGCCTACCAGTTTGAAATAAGATAGAAACAGATCTTTGACTACAGGAATGTAGCTCTGACATTCAACTGGTGTAGGCAGTGGGTAATGCTGGTTAAATTAAGACCATTCTTACAATTAACTATGCAAAGATATTCAAATTTCAAATTTATTTATGGCCTTTCAAAAAATCACACAACAGAAAATCTTCATTTATGCAGCAAGTCAATCATTTGTGTATGTTTGGATAATGAAAATCTAGATAAACTCGAACCATCCAAACCCTACCTCTTGCTTACTTTGTTAGAATATATAGATTGGAAATCTAAGTTCCTGACAGTTCCTCTGTTGAAGATAGTAAAATTTGCCAGCCACCTAGCTACAATTTTTTGAATGTTTACAGGTTAAGCTTTGACAGTGGAAAAGA